GCTTTCCCTCTGCTTCTCCCTGGTTTTGGGCATTCCTTCTGGGTCAAACCATCCTAGCACTCTTTCCCTAAGGCTCCAGAGTCCGTCACACGCCCCTGTTACTTTCGGCGTGGCGGGCAGTCTGCTAGTGCCGCTGTCGATGGCGGGCGGTGTCATAGCGTTTTCCGTCCCTTCTGCCGGGGGGTCGTCCTTGTCCTTCCCCTTCTTGTTAGGCGTCCCCCTGTGGCTATTATCCTTTCCTTCATATCTGGCCTCGTCTTGAGTGGTCCTTTGCCCCTCTCGTGACCCTACGCCCTGGGGGTCCTCCTCATCCCCGGCCATCATCTGCTCGATGAACCTTGCCTTAAATTCTGCAGTCCGCTTTTCTATCTCTGCCAGTTTGCGACGGGTATCTAAGACTTTTGTCTTTTTCGGTGTGGTTCCTGCTGAATTCCGAGGGCTTGTTTTCACGTCGTTTCCCCCTTCCCTGTTTTCCTGAGGTCCCTTTTTGCTAACCCCAGCTTTCCCGGAACTTTCTCCTGTTGAAATGTCTTTTCCATCTTCTCGGGTTCCTTCCGGTTTGGCTGACTCTCGATCCTTCACTGATCCCTCGTTTCGTTCCTCACCCGCATTCGTACCCTAGCTCCCCCTACTCTGCTGATCATCGAATTCTTCTTCTGTCGCCATTCCGGTTCGAACCGCTCCGATACGAGTGTGACGGGGCTGAGGCAATGAGGCTGGGAGAGAGAGGGAGAGAGTGAGAGCACACACACACACTCACTCAACTCGACGCATACTCAACACGACTCGACGGACGCAGACACGAAGTGGCAAAGTCGCAAAGTCGAAGTCTTGGATTTCCGAACACAATGTCGAAGCAAGTCACCGAAGCACAAGTACAACAGCAGAAAACTGGTATGAGACTGGTCCCCGTACGATACGGGGAGCAAGTACCGGTGACACGTACGGTACTAGGGGCATTTTTGCAAAGGCCTTGAGGGCAGAATTGAAAAATGCGGTATTTGAAAGTGGCGCCTGAATTGCAGCATGGCGCCAGTTGTCCAAAATCCTACGGTACCTAAGGAGGGGTTTGGAAAAAGGGTGCCAGGCCAAAAATGGGATGGAGCCGAAACAGCAAAAGGATAGGCCAGGGATTGAGCCTTGGCGGAGTCCATGAAATAGGGGGCGGATCTATATGATGGCGGATCTATATGATGTCACCTGCAGAGTTAGATGAGCTCCGCCGCCAGCTCAAGGAGCTCACAGAGAAGGGTTAGATTCGGCCAAGTACGTCCCCCTACATTGGGAGGAGTTATAGACTGAGTGGTTAGAGAAGACCCTACAGACTCCTGGGCGATGTTGAACAAAGGTCCAAAGGGTGAACATTTCGTGGTAGAAGTCGATGTGGGTGGCCGAAAGGTTGGTGCCTTCACAAACATAGGTTCCATGCGGAATTTCATCGGTCGTGCCTGTGTGGATAGGTTGCGCTTAGGGGACCAAGTGCAGCGACTTAGCAAATTTGTAGCATCTAACTTAGCCAACAAGCACTCCATGATAGTGAAGGACTATGTCAAGGACGTAGTGTGTACCTTCTCCTATGGTGGAGGGGAACTAAGACATAAAATCCCGTTCCTAGTGAGTGAGGAACTGCCATTCGACATGTTGCTAGGCATGTACTACCTCGAGGTTGCTAAGCGTCAGTTCCATTGGGATAGGAAGGTGATGATCCACAAGTTACCAAATGGTAGGACCGTTAGGCTGCAAAAGTTCAAGGCTAGCAGACTAGTGGAGAACT